GCATGGGCTTCGGATGGGTTTCGCATGGGCTTGGGATGGGTTTCGCAGGGGCTTCGCATACTCGAATCTTGTCTTTTTTGAAGGGGGTGACCGTGCCTATGCCGCCTGCTGCAGGGTAGGTCGCTTTCCAGACAGGGTCGGTCTGTCCGCTCCCCACGGGTTCGCTCCGCAAAGCTCCGGGAGATGAAGAGACCGGGCGCCACTCGAATACAGTAATTGGTTTCTCCTCTCTGCCGGGGTGTCCCCAAGAGGTGTCACGGGGTGTGTCTGGAGATCCTAGATATTGGTGTAGTGGGCTCCCAGTGGTGGCTGAGAGGGGTAGAAACTACGGCATGACACGTGAACTTGGCTTGTCCAGGTGGTGTGGGAGAAGCCGGAGAAGCTCGGGGCAACAGTCTCTCTGGGACTGTTAAGTCTCAACTGTTCCCCTCCCATGGGTTTTGCTCCAAACCGTGGAATTGATGAGAAGTCGAGCTCCTTGGGCAGACTTCCAACCTCTTACCATCCCAACGCAAAGGGACGGAACCCGCACGGAGAGAAAACGAACTGTCTTCACCTCCTTCATGTAGTACCACTCGGGTCGCGTGGAATCCGTATCCTGACCGGCGAGCCCCGTACGTCGCGGTCCGCGCTCCGAAAAACGGCAGAGAGCAGTGTAGCGTACACCCGTACGGGAAGAGACCTTTAAAAGATTGGGTAGTGCATGTTTGACTTCCTCGGTTTGCAAACACCAAAAGACTGAACACCTAAGTAGTTTTTGTTGATCACTTCCCAGAGACCTTTGTTTTGACTTCGACGCCACGCTGGGCCGCCCTCGGTCTTTCGGGGTCGAAGCGTCCTCGGTGCTCCGACGTTCAATTTCGCCGTGGTGCCCCCTGTGCCCCCCAGATCAGCTACGGCCTACGTAAAGTAATTAGTAGTTGTGACAAAGAAATAGATTCTAATCTGGCTATATAACCCCTTCTTTTCACCTCCGTGGACAAAAGACCCTCCCCTTGGCCACATCAGATGATGTGATTGCTCTTCAGGCGGATAGCCGTCGCCTTTTCAGGTGACCCAGTACCTGCCAGTACCTGCCTGCCTCCTTCTTTGCCAGTACCTGCCTGCCTCCTTCTTTGCCAGCACCTGCCTGTCTCATGCGTGGCCCCCACCTTCCTTCACCGATTCGTTCCACTGTCCGTCTCTACATGACCTCGTGACCGGGGTCAGAACGGGTAGGCCGTCTTTCCAATTACAGATATAGCCTGCGAGCTCGAGCTCGTGACCCAAGCTCGATGTTTGGATGAATTTGGGGTGACGTTTTCATGGAACCTGTCACACTGAGCAGCGTTCATAGGTTCTAGCTGTGTCTTCGGTCTGCTGTGTTTTTCAGTACAGACGTGCCTTTGAAGCCCTGAACCTCCCGAAACACCCAGTTTGCCTCCCACCCGCCAGCACCAAACGCCCAACCCGCCTCGCAAGTGGGCTTGAACGAGTCCAAAGCAGTCGCAAAGTTCTGTTCGCCCCAGAGATACAAGGTCCGATGGTTGGTCTTCCTTGGAGCGCACGTTGGTCTACCCAAACCCCGACTTCTCAATGCTGAAATCAGCTGGCGAGCCTGTTGGACGCTTGTGGGTTTATCTACCCTACAACTTAAAACCATCTAAAACCTCCTTTACCGATGCTTCGTCGGGCTGAACGTGACCCCAAGGGACCTGTCGACGACCGATTCCATCCAGCCACCCTCATTCCAACTCGTCGTGCCAGACAACTGTCACTATCTTTTGACACGTTTTTTCGAAGACCAAGGTTTTTGGAGGCCATCGCTAGTAGGTTGGAGGCCATCATGACTGATGCTCAAAAAGGTTCAACTTGGATCGCAAATCGTGGTTTAGCAGGACACTGCCTTTTTCTTTCCATGGAAGAAACTTCCACTTAAAAAGAGAGATGCTTCGAGAAGACCTGTTCAAGTCTCAAACCGGACCGCCTCTCTAAATGGGCCCCTTTTTACCCCTTTTGGCTCAAATGGGCGTCATCATGGACCCCTTTTGCGTCACGACCTTTATATAGTCGAAATACGCTGCTCCCCCATCTGCCGGAAGATCTCATGGAAGGAACCTCTCTTCAGCGACACCGGGCAGACCCGTCTGTCACATCCAAGAAACCAAATGCCCTTTGTGGACCCAGACCTATAGTTGTCTGTCACATCGTCCACGGCCACAGCCAGGGGATTGTCCGCCTCAGTTGAAGTGCAAAGAGCTTCACCTGGTCAGAAGATCGAAGATCACTTGTCTGGGGCATGATGGATAGAGTACAGATTCCCAAACAGATAGAAACAACTTGCATCGAGCTGTGGGGATGTTTTGGTCAGTCTAATCATGCTGGGTGGTGTTTGGAAGAGGGAAACGATAAAGAATTGTGGTTTCATGACTTCTGAGATCTTGGCATCACTCAAATAGGTGTTCACTGGATCTTTTAGGGAAAGTCGGTCTCACCCGGCTGCCGTGGCCGACGGGCAATTCACCAGTGATTCAGTGATGCTTCTTCTTTGGCTTCCGAGTTGTGAACGACCAAATGATTGAAGCCCACAAATCCCCATAGACCTGATGAACTTTCTTCTTCTTCTTCTTCTTCGTCTTCTTCTTCTTCTTCTTGTTCTTCTTCTTCTTCTCTTCTCTTCCTTCTTCTTCTTCTTCTTCTTCTTCTTCTTTGCCCAGAAAAATGGTGGAGACCCCATCGTCTTCCCGACCTGTAGCTTTTAGTAAGTCGTTGCCCAAGTCTGTTGAAGTTTGTTCTAGTTCCGGATTCCAGATCATGCAAGTTATTAAAACCCAAAAAGGGATGGCTCGGTCTGTTCCCTGGTGAATGAAGAACTCACCAGCTGTTCCACGTCCGCAACTGATCGCCAAAGCACTACAGCTTTTGAGATGTCGTCTCCTTCCATCCGGTATGGCTTCCTGAAAGTAGAGACGGCAACTTCGCGGGGTCTCCGCTAGAAGTGGACCTGGGTTACTGGATACCAGTCACCCATACCACAATACCACATTCCGCTGAACATCTTCCACAAGTTTCCAGCGCAAGTTCGGCTCTCATTTCACTTCACCCCAGAAGGCCGAAGTGTTGAGAAATGTTCTCAGAAGTTTTGAGAAATTCTCTCAAACAAAACATGGACACCTCGTTTGCTTGGATAGGAAATTGGCACCACCATCTATGTAGTCAGTCCGCATGCAAGGACCCAGATCCCGAGTAAAACTTTGGCTGGCACTCGTTCATCATCAATGAAGCTGTGCCGCTATCCTTTCGTTCCTCCGCCAAGTCCGGACAGTTCTCCACCCTTGCACTAGTAGGTGTCAAAAACACTGCCAACCTCAAAAACAACTAAACCAGGGCCCCTAATGAAGGGATCTACAGTAATGGCCCCGAAGATGTCGATGATTCGGGACGTCCATACCCCACCTCTAAACGGAAATCCTGGTCAGTTACCTTCGGCTCAGCTCACCCTGTCACCGCTCCTATCGAATCCCTCGATTTCACCCAGCGGCGTCTCAGCCATCACAGCCATCCGCCTCAATGCGAAACGAAAGGAGGCGCGAGAAAAGAACGCGGTGCGAGCTCGGGAGCGTGGAAGTCCATTCCTAAGAGGGACCACCGAGCAACCAGCATCACCAGCAAATTGGTGATGGGATCTGCTGTCCAGGAACCAGGAAAAAGAAACCCTACAAGTCCGAAGACCCAGTAAAACCTGGTTGTTTACCTCCTTAAGTATTGGTTTTGTATGACCATCTCCAGTAAAAAGAGGTCTTTTACTTGTAGGGAAACAACAACAAAATATTCTCCACACCAGGGGAATACCCCCGTTGTTCCTCGGGCAGCGAAGAGCCTTTTTCTCAAAATGTTGGGATCGTCTCAGATCAGAGGTACAGTGGTTTCAGAATAGATGGCACTGGCAGCCAAAGATGTCTTTTATATGGGGGGCCATATAAATCACCGAACTTGGGGGCCCTTGCACCATCGAACCTCTGAAACCATTGTAGTTGCAATCTCGACACAATCGACACCGCTTCAAACTGTACCCCGTGAGCCCTTTTCAACCGTACCGCCACCCGCCGCAAGCAGGGGGAACTTCCAAACTTCAAGTGGTGGCAGCCTGGCCACCTGGCGTCTTCCAACCAAACGAAGTCTTGAAAGCCGCCACACAACTCCGTGTGCACCGCCTCTCTTCGCTCCGAAAGGATTCGGAGAAACACCGGGAGCGGCCGAGGTCGCATGGAGTCTTTTGGAAAAGAGAAAGAAGGTCGGGAGAGCTTTGTCATGCAAGAAATTGGAAAGAGTGGAACAAGATCGTGTCAGCCAAATCATGTTTGAAGGGTGTCGGTCGACGATACATCACATCAAAAAGATTTCCAGGACCTAGAAAAGAAGTGGGACAAACGTGCGAACGTTCAATGCAAAGTGTTGAGGGTAAGGAATATCTGAACATCGTCAAATGGAACCATTCAGTCAACCTCTAGCTTTGTGAGCTTGTGTGTATCTATCCTCATCTATCCTTGCCAACTTAGCATGTCCTAAAAACGAGATGGACGCAATCTTTGCAGACACTTTCCCAATCAGACCAACACAAAACCTTGGTCCTCCGGGCTTTCCACCCACATGGCAGAGGCTGAGGCTCCCGGTCTCCGACGATTCCACGTCTTTAGGCTCCACAAGAGCAGCCAACGAGATGCACCAGAAAAATGGTCGCGCCTGAATGTCATAAAGCCTCACAGCTTGGAGAGAAGGGTCATGTCCAGCACTCACCAAGTGGTCGGATGGGACTGCACCCGATGTGTTAGGTCACCCCCACTGAGGAGTCCAATCGATAGTCAAGATCAACTATATGGATGTGTATGGTGTGTATTCAAAAAGGGAGACCTCCCAGTTTGCCCCCTGGAAGGTTCGGAAAATAGACCAGTCTACCCATTGGGTGCCCTATTAAATAACACACTCATGTAAGAGGCACACAATCTAAAACAGAGTTGATCGGTTCTGGGAGACTGTTGCAGGGGTAAGGGATAGATTTCTCCCCTGCTTTGCTGCTTTGCGGAGATAAACAGGCCATGGCAAACCACAAGACTAAAAAGTCCTGAATAGATGCGCGCCACGTTTTGTGCAAGAACAAGAGAAAGCAGCTAGTGTAACATGCAATCGATTGTCCATGTCCTACTGGTAACCGGTTTGACCGTTGGCATACGAAAGGAATGGTCAACGGTAGCGCGACTCGGAGGTCTTATCCATACACCACAGCCTTTGCTGGCAGGCCTCACTGAAACGATCTACTGAACTGCGATCTCTGTTACAGCAAACCTGTCGAAGGCTGATGTTCACCCTTATGTGAAAGTGAAGCAGGGGAATAATGCTACTTCTACTCAGCATCTACTCGACTTGAGAACGATAGACCTTAGAGAGTGGCAATAAAGGACTCTTTTAACGCATTGGCCGCGGCATATTGGCCCATTGCTCCACAGGGGGTGGATGGAAAGACCCCCCACGCATGAGGGAGACAGACAGACAAACGGACAAACGGACCGACGGACCGGGGAAGCTTCGCACTGCTTGGCACCAGCCAACGACGTTTGGTAAGGTCCCAGCTTGTTGGTGTTCAAAAGGGAAGGAGTTTGACTGTGTTGCACAGCAGGGTAACCATGTTGCTTTTGGTCTTTGGGAGAAGGAACAAAACACAGAGGCACTCATAGATTTGTTGTGAACTGCCAGGCCCCTTCTGAATCCATCCCTGCACCGCCCAGGACATTCGAGCAAGGCACATCGGCCGCATCACGAGCTGGTTTACCAAGAGCAAGGCCACTGGAACCGCCAGCAACATACCTAGCGCATCGCTGCTAACTAGGAGCAAGGACGCTACCAGGGGCTCCTGGTTACTACTAGGAGCCAGAAGCTACTAGGAACAAAGGGCATCGCTACCAGCAACAAGGAGCGCCAAAACCGACGAGTTCCAAAACGGTGGAAATCCTCGTCGCCCAAAAACGTGTCGGGCGCCGGTGAAATCATGGAGCCCGGCAATTGCTAGAACCCTCAAGCTCCACAATAAGAACCAAGTTCCGCGACAGCTCAAACTTCTGAATGTCCGCTCTTTTCTCCAAGGTACAAAAAGCCTTCACATCCAAGCCCTTCCGCCGCGGCATGTTGGGCAGCTTGATGGGCTGCAAGGTGTTCATCAGGAACCTCCAGCCACAGCAGCTCTCCAGGCTGATCAGGTTCGACCGGTTTCCTTCTCAGGTGCACACCCCAAAAATACACAGCTCCCAAAACGTGGAGGCTCAGCTCTTTTGGCCTGAGTCGATCTGCTCTACCCAACACCCTCACTGCTCTACCCGACACCCCTCGGCCTCGAGGGCGTCGAAGCTAACGCGGTAAACAGGAGGTCGTCCACCTGGCCGACCGTCATGTCGATCGCCCGGTGGGACGGTCCGGGCGGAACGGGTTGGAAGGGTCCTTCTCCAAAGGGTCTCGAAAATAGCAGATCGGTGGGGAGTGGATGTACAGATCGGAACGTGCGCCCTTTCGAATCAAAAAGACTGTCCAGGTCTATGTAGAGGATCCCTTGATTCATGAGGATTTCCTGGTGGCTCTTGATTGATCCACTCTTCGTGTCATGCAAAGCACCTTCAATCAGGAAAGCGAAGCTTGAATGGATGGGTCCGGTGTTCTGCTGGCGCACTGGGTCCCGGTGAGACTTCCATGGAACTTCGGGGACCCAAGCAAATGGCTCGCGCTGGCACATAGCCATCTTCCTTTGGGGGCGCTACTGTGGGTGTGTGTGTGTGTGTGAGTTGTGTTGCAAGTCATACCAATGTCTTGCCAGAACCGTCATTAGTTGGACTGCGCTAGTACTCCCACGTTTTGCACCCCATTCCCGTTTGCCTCTCAAATCTCAAAAAGAACGCTGGATCATGATGAATCCTGATCCCTTGCTCTGCAAGAATCTTTCTTCAGCTATTCTTGAATCGTTCTTGGGTGACCCCACGGTCACCACCAGTCTTTTTCCAACCGACCACCACTCCACACAAACCACTCGTCCATCCTCTGAGCCCTCGTTGACTGGAAAATCCGAATCAACCATTCCTCGCAAGGCTGCGTTCTTCACTAGACAGCGTTGAGGTCATGACGTTGGGGAGCACGACCAACTCCCGAGGTTCCTACGAGTTGGCCACGCGAGGCAACCGTGCCGCCCTGGGCCCTCCAGGCATTCAGGACGATCTCCAAGGCAATGCCTTGGAGGCGAATTTCGATGGGGGATTGGTGGGCAGGGCTTCGATTGAGGTTTCAGAGGTCTTAGCAGTGGTTTCAGAGGTGAGAAATGGCACCCCCCTTCACCCCAAGAGGACTTTGAGATTGGGATCCATATAGACCACCAACTTGGGGATTGTGCCATCTACAAATGCGGCGTACGCGGTTTGCAGAAGTCATATGACCACGAATCTCGCACCGGCTCAGGTTCCTGTTGCAAATGATCGTCACCCTATGGAAGGCCTGACCGATGGAGCACTGCGACATCTTGCATCCAACAGGGGTCCCAGCGAGAAAAAACACTGCAAGTAGTGCTGTTGTGCTAGTTCTGCTGGTTCTGCGCACAGTGCGTGGCACCCTGTCCGACTCAATCACTTTGGTCTCTCATACCACTAGAGGGTGATGTTCACCTACCCTTGTAGGTGACCCACCATAGAAAAAACAAAAACAATAAACAACAACGACTGCCTATGAGTAGTGGGCATTTTGAGGGTCCCCTAGTTATAGTTAGAGTCATACCTTCAGAACGTGCATTGGTGGATTGTTGTCCAAGTCCGCAGCTCAAGCAAACATTTTACACATACCCGTGCCGACGCGGTTGGTCTTGTTGGGTTGGGAATCTTTTCCCTGATTGGTAGTCCATCCAAGCAGCAAGCATCGTGTTCACCGAAAGACTTATCAACGATATAAATGTCCGATGATGTCCAATGATGTCTGACTTTGCTGAAAGCTCAGTCCAGATTGCCTCGTCTGTTCTGTCCAGACTGCTTCAATTCCCCTGTGTCCAACCCCCCTGGACTGGTGTCCAAGATCCTCACATGTCAGTTCCAAAAGTGCCCAAGATCCGAAGGAAGACAAAGGTGGCCCGAGTTGGAAAAGAGATTGGAGACTCTTCCACAGGCTGTGGGTCACCCGGATCCCAAACCAGGGGCCCGGTTGACCTCCTGTAGGTCGTCCATTCTGTTGATTTTCTCTGGGACAGCCCAAGGTAGCCCGGTTTTGACCCACATCCATTGGTGAAAAAGCAAAGGCGAGCCTTTCGAAGCTGTCCAGACTGGGGCAAGTAAAAAAAAATGAAATCGTTCTTTTCAGGCTTCCCGGCAGTTCAGCACCAGGTCAGGCAAGTAGATGGTTTGCACCACCTTGGACACATCCACTGAGAGAGAAGAGGTCCCATTTGGATGAAAAGAATCAATGGCAATGTGTATATATATATATATATCTGTGTGTGTGTGTATTTGAATAGGGAGACCCTCTGACCCAATGGGTTTTGATCTATTTCCCTTCTTCTAGGGGGTCGAATTGGGAGGGCTCCCTGATTGAATACACACCCATATTGCATAGTGCATAATGCTGGAGCGGATCGCTGCTAGCATGAATCTCGCAGGTGCCCTGGAAGAGGGTTCTGGAGGAAGTGCTTGGAATCCTCTGTGTCCATGGTGTTTTGTCCTAGTTTCGTGTCCCCAATCCAGGATGTTAAGGGACACTCCTCAATGGCGTCAAGGGAGCGGGTGTCAATGTCAATTGCACATGTGCCAGTGTCAAAGCTCGTTCTGTTGAAAGTAGATGACCATCCGTTTAAAAATTAACACTGGATATTGGGTCAATCCTGGCCGACATCTCTCAAATAGTGATTCGCTGTGCTTGTTTACCAACTGTTACAGGTTTACTGGGACAGACCCAAGGTAATACATACGTCAAAGTGTTCAGACCACATGTCCATACAAAGGGATCATTTGGTTCGACCTGCGCAAGGTTTGAGGTCCTCCTCATGTGCCCATTCTCACGCCAATTTTGTCTTAGTGGAAGCAGACCAACCAAAAAGATGTCCTGAAAAAGAGGCCAAATGCCTGTAGACTTTTGATGAATCAACCCCCCGGCAGGAGTCGAATGAGGTGCTTCAATCCATGTCGGTGTTTCCAGGTCGACGCTGGTGCTCCGAAGAACGTCGGCTCCGAGGTCGTTCTCGGCCCCCCCCTGGGGCCGAAGAACGACCCGGGTCGAAACGGAGTGGAAGAAAACCGGAGTCTCATGTGCACTCAATGTGTATCATCAGGAGTTCTGTTTCTTTTTTTGGGGGGGGTGAACTGCAAGGACGAGTGAACTGCAACGGTCTTCGTCAGCTCCCTGGTAGTCTTTCGGACCAATCTCCCTATTCCGCCCCAAATTCTGTCAGTCCAAGCCAGAGAAACGGAGAACGACTTTTCTCCAAAGGACCACACATGACTAGCCGGGTCCACGCCGCAGGAAATCCCTGCAGAAACCAACCAATGGCCGGGTCCAAGGCGCATAAAGAGACCCGAAGCACAACAAGACCTTGGAGTTGCTGCTTCGGAACAAAAAGATGCTTAAAGGAAAAAAAAATTACTATTACTATTCCCAGATATTCCCCGTGCAGAATTCACCCAGTTCGGGACAAATGCAAAAATTCACCCAATCCGCCAAACCAGGAGACGCAGGCCACCGCGAGGCGGACCACTGTGATCAGGGTGCCCCACCTGAGTGCTCGAGCGATGGACGGGTTGATGGTCGGTGGTGAGAAAAAGCCCCAGTGGTGCTGGGGAGCCTCTTTTTGGGACAGAGTTGGGCAGGGCCTGTAGAAAGTGGTTAGGGCGATCTAGTGCTTTGGTAAGCTTAAAGGACAAGATATGTTTCACGTCCATGTCTCCGCACCATAAGCCTAGAAGCCTAGGCCTAGGCAGACTGCCTGTGATGTGCTGATGATTTGGATATATTATTTTATGATATATTTGGATCTGGTTGGGCGCAAACACCAGCTTCGTGGCACCCAAACAGCTCTCACCGTCTAGGGACTCAACCTTTTCTGCGGTCAGAGGCTCGGAGAAAAGGACTTGAACCCCTAAGGACTCCAGACCCGCAACAGGAGGTGCATGTAGGATCTGCCACAGGGTTTGTAAGAAAAAGAACCATAGGTTGGCTGACTTGGCTGATGAGTTGTTTTGTTGTTCGCGTATGTTCACGTCAGCCCGCGACAGTTTGCTGGTGTGAAGTCACAGGAACCAGTGCTGTGAAGCACTTGAGCATTGAAGTCCCCAAATCTTGCACGGTTCTTGCCCATCTGAAGGTCTTGCACGACATGTACTCCGTTGTCCGAACAATGTTGTTCTTCTAGGTCTAAGTCTCACAAGGACGAGAAATGACTTACAATGAAGTTGGGGTCTGATCTGCAAACATCTTTGGCTCGGCCTTCCTCCGCCGATAGGAGGCACGATTGCAGCACTAGCATAGGAGGCACCAGGCATCCTGATGTGCAGCACGAACATGTTCAGCGCCCCGGATCTCACCAAGACTTTCCGCCCCTTCCGCCCCTGCAAAGGTGCTTGGGCCAAGGAGGTGCCTTCTTCCACCAGTCGACGGAGGTGCGGCCAAGCCACAGCTTGCGGGAGAAGGATAAGTGGCTGAGGACATACTTGGGATCGTCCTCGTCATCAGTGTCTAAGACCAAACCTCAGATGTGTGAACTCACTCTGGTCGGGATCGATGACCTCTCTCGATGTGTGGCTACGGCTGTCTGGTTCCGTTGAACGTGTGTGGGTGTGGGGGTGGGGGGGGGGGGTTGGGGGGAGAAGGGGCGCGCGCGTCTCGTTTGTCGAAACGTGGACAGTTACGTTTGAACTCACGGCCGAATCCCACGACAACCCGAAACGGAGAGAAGACTACAGCTCTACACAGTAGGTAGGAGCTTTCCTCCGTTGCCTCGTTCTCATCTAGAGGTGGAAAGCACCTCAACTTCACTCCCTTCGCAGTCTTCGCATCCCCCCCGGCCCCACCTAAGATAGATGCGCATCCTTTCCTTCCTACCGAGCTGAACCGATCCCAGAGGCAGGTGGGCCCGGTGGGGATGGTCATGAGAACGCGGCCTCCGTCCGACGGTCAGGAACCGGTGGAGCCGGTGGAGTTGCAAAGGCCAGGAGGAGAAGAAGAAGTTGATGGTTGTTTGCCCTGCTTTTTGAGGTCCCTTGTCATCCCACCTTTCGGGAAAATGGCGAACACTCTAGAACACTGATTCAATGGATTCAGGTGTTTGAAGTCGGGTCGAATGCCTGCATTCCGCATTTAATACAACAACTCCCAACCTCTGTGCAACTTCTAAGAAACGACTGAGCTGGAAACCCAGTCCAGAAACAAATGGTTGTTCCACCATGAATTCCTCGAGATCCTGTACATTGGAGAAACATCAATCTATTTCTAGTTTGCTTCGCTGATGCTTGCTGTGGCAAAATTTCATCAGGAACACTTCGAGCGCCGCAGACCAATGGCCACAGACCAAGTAGTCACACGTTTTCATTCACTTTCCACCAACCGGTAGCAGCCAGTACCAAGCCTCTACTCCTGAATGAACATGCCAGAATGAGCTGTCTATAGAGACCTGGTGCCACCCGGTCCGGTCAGTGCTTTTTGCTTTTCTTTGCTCCTCGGAGTCACGTCTCGGGTTCACATGTGCTCCTTCGGAGTCGAAACTGCTCGAAATCGGAGTCTGGGCGTGGGTTTCGGTCGCGCAAGGCGCCTAGATCTAAGGTGGTGGTCACATCGTCAGAGACCATGAGGAACCACAGGGTCAAGGCTACCATGCCCAGCACAGGCCCTGCGCGCATCGATTGAGGCCCGTACGGAGACAAGAACATGCCGGGCGGCCACCACACAACGGGTGGGATGAATAGGGGCCGAAACCGTACTCAGCTTCGGATCATGGTTCTCAACTCACCCACGGATATGCGCCGTATCCTTTTCTGACCTCAAACAAATGATCATCGCGGCATCCACAGCTAAAAGCTGTAGATAAACATGGGTTGGAAGCGGAAACAAGGACTCACACACTCGGTCGGCGTGGTTGCTTGGTGCGGAGGCAGCTCCACACAATCTCGGACTTATGGGCAGTTCTTCTAGACAAAAGCTGGTGCAAGAGCATGACTTCGGGCCTTTTTCAGCTGAAAATGAAGCTATGGCCAAGATGGAAGAGAAGAGTTCCACAGTGAAGACTCCCCAAACCAAGCGTTCAACTAGCTGAGGAAGAGACATCTTCAGAAGAGCTTCTTTCACCCGAGAGAACTGCGTTCCAAGTTTCTTCGATTTCATGTGGTTTTGATTCTCAGCAAACAGACTTCGCACCATACCCATCCAACCATCCAACTATCCCAAGCTCCGTGGGCATAATCAGGCTATGTTGTCAATAAGTAGACCCTGAAGTGGGCGACCAAACCATCAAAGTCCATCTCCAGCCGCAAAACGCCAGACGTCTGGACAGGTAGGTGGATTGATGGTGATGGTCTTGCTCTTGCTATTGCAGTTGTTGCGACTGTTGTGATTTAATCATTGGCTGCGACAAACTTCCTATCTTTCTATGTTTAAATGTTTTTCAAACGGCCCACATCATTGTCATGTTGTGGAAGGAAGCTTTTGCGAGCTACCCGAGCTACCCTATAGTCAGCAGTCGATGTATGCAAGCCAAGCATTGCTCTTGCCCTTTGGAACACCGAAAAATGGGGTGGTCAACTGGCGCTCACATGTGAGCCATCGCCAGCACACCGGGTCACACTCATCACCTGGTGAGTAAAGCAGCAGCGTGGGTTCTCCTTTGCCGGCTTTGCTGCGCAAGTGTCTGGGTTCCCTGTGAAGTTGATCTGTTAATCTCATGGGGTTGTCTTTCTTGCCCGCAAAGAAAAAGATACACACACACAACTCCCGCAATCAGCGCAACTTGGGCCTCGGAAGAGGAAGGGTGCTCCAGCCTCACCCAAGTAGGTGTTCACCGTCTGAAACAAGGACGCCTGCAGGAGACAGAGGAGAAAAGGTGATCTTGCAAACAGTGATGGGTCAGGCTTGCAAGCTCTCTGTTGAAACGCTCATTCAGTCCAAGTTTTTGATGTTGCAAGCATGGTTGCCTTGGGGTGTAGGGTCCTGAGTCCACTGGTTGGATTTTGAGAATTGAGGTGAAGGAATCCTGAACATCTCACTTACAGACTTACAACAGGTGTCCACTTGAGCTCTACTTACACTTACACTCCCAAAAATTAACCCGAGAAATACTGTTTTCCTCTACTGACCAGTGGTTTTTACAGGGTCCATGCTAGTTTTCCACAGGGTATATATATATATACTTCAAGCGCACAGTTCTTCCACTCCGAAATTTGGGATGCCACCGTTCGCTTGGGCATTGGGGGGTTTGGTTTGGGACGAGTCTGGTGACTATGGTCTGCACATCACCAGATTGGGTGACAGCTTATCAGCTTTTGCAAGACTCCAAGCCAGAAGGCTTGGAACAATGTGTCAAGCCCGTGGCTGCTTCCACTCCCTTCGGCCGTTGCCGTTGCCGTTTCGTTGCTGCGGTTGCTCAAAACTGCCTTGTTGGTATTCGGAAGCGGCCTGGTCTTCCTTGCAGGTCCATGTTCGCCCGGTTCCAGATGAGTCTCTTCCCGGGTGTAGATGGATTAAGAAAGAACAGAACTGCACAGAACTAGATGACTGACGACCCGCACACGTGAAATCAGCCAAATCCACACGTGAAATCAGCCAAATCATGAGGTCCTCCTCGTAGCAACTCAGAAACATCTTGTGGTAGGTTAGAACATGTTAGAGCATCTACTGAACTATGTCTCGTGAATGGCAACTGCTCCAACTTGAGGCCAATCAACTGAATCTCGCTTTCCAGCCACGCTTTTGGTCTCTCCATTTGGAAGTCGACAGCAGGTCTCCCTCTCGCCGGAGCGCCTGCCCGTTGGCAACATGGAGCGCCTGGTCGTTGTTGCAGACCTCCGTGGCGAGGTGGAATGGAGACTTATATAGTCATTTGTTTTGACCAGGTGATATTGACTGTTGATGGTTGTTTTCCTCTCAAGCAGGACATGTTGGACCTTCCAGCTAGGGGCCACTCTCTTTTTGCTGAACAGTCTACATTGAAAGCCTGATTGCCTGACCCCTGGAATACCCTCGACTTCTCCTTTCCCTTGCACGATCGAACGTGGGCAACCCTGAAAACTCTTCCAAGTGATCAAACCCTCTCCCTCGGGCCAGTTGGCGCCAGCATTGAGAGACCCCGATTCCTCGGGGACTCAGAGGTTCTGATCGACGCAGAAAGGCGCGTCGCAGTTGTTTTAACCACTTCTCGGCTTCTAAGGGCACGAACTTCCCAACTGCACTCAATCAACTCAATCAATAGATATGTCGCCCCCCAAAAAAAAAACGATGAAAGAATGCCACATCTTCCTTCACCATTCGTAATCTCAGACCTGCCCTCCTCATCTCTCAGATCTGCCCTCCTCATCTCGCTCCTTTCGTGCTGAAAAAGAGCCGAGTCACCCGCGAGGCCAAGGAGGCTTTGGTCAAAGGATCCCAGAAAGTCTCCATGTGCCCCGTGGCCAAGCGCCAGCGTTTCGCCTCACGGATGGGTCTTCCAACCGGTGGGTGTTCCAAACACCGTCAGCGTTGAGGCAGTCGGGAAGGTAAACGAAAGGACTGCAGAAGCCCAGACTTTATCACCCGTTTCATCTGAAAACAGCGACTTGTGCAACAGGTCCAGCCGTATGCAGGCTTCAAACCTCTTCCAAATCCCAGATGCTGATCACATCGGGTGCAAGTCCTGCTGCCTAAAATCTTGAGCATGAAAAAGCCTTGATTCAATATCATCACCGTCACCAATTTGTCCCCGTATTGCCACAAAGACAAAAATAAACCCTAAACGTGCCTGGGTCCCAAGCCTTCTTGCTCCACCTTCTCTGCCAAGAAACATCTTGGATGGAAAAATGGTCAACTCGAGGTTGGCTGAAGTTTAACGCCACGACGCCCACGAAGACCTCGGACTCCACCCACGCACTCTGCAGACTCCTCTTCTCGGGAGAAGAGAAGTTCGCTCCGACCCAGGTGGTGCGACATGGACCCAAAGGATCCCAGCTGGTCCATGTGCAGGTGATCCATCTGGTCCTGGGGGGGACATGAACCCGATGGTTTCTTTGAACAAGCAAAGGGAAATCCATCACTGCCCACGTGATCCACCCGATGTTTTCACTCAAAAACCCGCGGCGCCCACGAAACCTGCGAGGGCTGCGAACAGCGGCGTTTCGAACTGCTCCAAGGGGCCAGTTGGATCATGAAGGTGGACAGGACCAAGACCATGGTGTGGAGACTCCCGAAGGTGCCCACCACATCAGTCCCCACCTCGGAGCCCAACGGTGCCGCCACAGAAACGCCCACCGGCCACGGAAACGCATATCGGTTCGGCTCCTCTGTTCGACAAGTCTTTCGGACCGTGGCCGCTGAAGCGCCCGCACACCGGCTCTAGCAGATACACCCGCACATATATACATATACAGTCAGGATCACGCTCTCGAATCCACGGTATGGGATAGAGCGTGTTGCTCGACCACAGGTCAGAAGCAACTAAAAGAACCTCACGAGCAAAACAGAGCCTCCATGACTCAGCGCCTCACATCCTGCGCCTTTGGCCGAAAGGTACGTACAGCCTCTGTACCCGAACAGCATCGCTGTGGAAGGGAATTGCGACAAGGACACAGCCTTGGGGGGTAAGACCCGTCCACAGGATCTAGGCTTGGTAGAGTTGAACGCACTGCAAATGCGTCTGCACATTCAAGCTTTGAGAGAAGTAGCATGGTCTCCCGCGACAACTTATAGATATCATAGAAGGTGACAAGCTCAGGGTCACCAACTATCCGAAATCTGGAAGCGTGGAAGAGGACAGCCATTTCACAAAATTGAAGCTCTGTTGTGGATTTAAGTCCGGCCAAAAAATTGTAGATTGAGTTCCAATCGCCAACATTGCCTTTCCACTTAGGTGGCTGAGCAAGATTCTTTGGAATTTTTGGACGCCAAAGGAGGAAGCGTTCCATGGTCGACAAGCTTCTGGACATGAGCATGCACAGGAGATAACTGATTGAATAGGCCAGCTCCTTTGCAGCAACATCACATCTTCTGTTGTTGATAATGTACTCTACTGTAGTCTCACGCAAAGCGGCGGCTAACTCAGGTGTCAAAAGGTGGTCTGACATTGTGCTCGACGTGCAAATGCCCGTGACATTGTTCCTTTCTGCGTGTGACAATCGTTTCCAAAACATTCTACCATTCCAAACAACACCAAGTTGGGTCAATTGGTTTGCCTGCAAAGACTCTATGAGCATGGTTCGCAACACTCAGGCAGTCTGAAAAAGTGTGCACTCGTCTCATAGAGGCGGTACACACATAAACAACCGCCCATATACATGTATACATATACCTAACATATACGTATACAAATACAAATACCGATACCAGTACAAATATCGGTATATATACATGTATATATATAGTTGCTGCATTACATTACATTACATTACATT